GCTGCAACAGGGGCAGGCAGGGAGCAGAGGTGACAGGGAGATGGGCACAAGTAAGGGGAAACCTGCTTGACCTTTCTGTATTTCCTGCCTCCCCACTGTCTGCCCCCTTGCGGTGGTGGGAGAGATGAATTAAAGATGATGACCCTCCAATAATTAGAATCTATACATGGAAAATTATAACATTTATTAATTTTCCATGTATAGACTCTTATTACTGGGGGGTCTTTTTAAATTCAGGGTCAACTTAGATTTGAATAAATATGGTATTTTCTATTTTTAACCAATGACAGCCCAATGTAAAATATGTGAACAGTCCAAGAAAGTAAGCAAGAGAGAGAAGGAACCCAGGTTTCTGTTCTGGCTGATTTGTTTTAACTGCTAGGACAGGGGTTTTTGACCTTTTTTAGTAAGTGTATCCCTGGTGGCCAGACACGGAGCAAAGGTGTGGGGGAGGTGAGGGGTGCACAGCTGGACGCAGAATTGCTGCCCTCGCCCTCCCTCCCCTCTCCCTGGCCCCGCTTCTGGGAGGTGGAGGTGTGGGGTGGTGGGTGGCAGTGCTCCATCCCTGCCTGCCCACGCGTACCCCCTAGGGCTCTCCCAAATATCAACTCCTGTGCTAGGATATTAGGGAAAAGATAGTGTCAGTGGCACCATTGCCCCTCCCTCTTTATTAGTGAGCTGAATTCAGTGCTGTTGATGCGAGTTAGGTGTGCTTAGAGAAGTTCCAATAGACTGGGTCCTCTGGGACCTAAGCCATGCACTGTAAGTGCTCTTCCTTTATGTTATCCAGAAGTTTTGCATCTGGCACTATCCATTCATCTTTTACTGTAGGAAAAGCTCAGCAAGGGATGCCCTTATTGACTGCATGTTCTCCTTTGTAAAGGACAGAACAGCAACATTCCAAAGGGTGATTATACGTGAGAAGTAAATGAGAAAATTTGCTCTCCAAATGGCCTGATAGCTGATATTTGTATTGCAGGAGCTGCAGGTGCCAATATGGAGGCATCACTAGTTTTTTCTCCTGCATCTTTTATTCCACAATCCATAATGACAAACTTGACCATATACACTATGGGGCGGGCTATAAATCTGCTAGAGGTAAGTCTGGTTTTTCTCCCATTCAGGGGAAGCCTAGAGTATTGAAACAGAGATAAACCATTTCTACTTCCAAGTACCAATTTCTTAATCAAGCTTTGCTTTTTTCCTGAGGTTATTGAATATTTTATCCTTCTGGCACTTCATGCAGGGATAGGAAAAAAATCTTTTATTCTACAGGCTGATTTTGTACTGAAATTTATAACCATTTCCCCTGTATTAATGTGACATTCAACCTAAATGAACCCTGGTCCTCTTATGTACCTGGCTTATTAGATAAAAGTCTAAGGCCCATCCAGCTCCATTAAAGTCAATGGAAATCTTTCCACAACTATAGTGGAAGCAGGATTAGACTCCAGCATAATTAGTCTTTTAATTTAAGGGGAAGAACACTGTGCTTTTGTTGCTGAAGTCCCAGCATTAAGTCCATGCTGACATCTTGTGACGGATTTATTACAAAGGGGTGATGCTTAAGCAACATATTGTCTTTAAATTGTGCCCTCAGTTACTGGAGTTTCAGAGTTGTGTGTTAGGTTTGTAGAATATTTAGTGCCAATGAAGATGCATGTGAAGGAAACAATTCAGCTGAATTTTCAGATTTCAAGTTAAGTTGGCAACTGGAAACAAACTTGAAATTTATCTATAGCACAGAATAAAGGATGCATCATTTTATAATCAGGGCTACTAGTTGTCACTTACTAAATTGGAAGTAGCCAGTATTCACATTCCATGCTTTCAATGGATTACTATCATATTGAAAAAGGAATATTTCTTCAATATACTGCCTGATATAGTAAGGTAGTTGTATCATGGGAGTTAATACTGAGAAGTGTCTAACATTGGATACTACCCAAGTGAGACTTGAATTTGATGGACCACACTCTGACCTTGCATGGCTAATTCTTTGTTCCTATTAGAGCCTGAGTACTAAGTTTTGTGACTTTAGATCCAGGTTGTCAGTTAAATTTCTATTTCCTAAGTATGTGCATATTTGTAGCCATGTCTTTGTAGTGTTTTAAATGCAGCATGTGTTTCCCCAGCTTGGTGTACGGTTAGAGAATGCAGAAGATCTCATACAGATGATATTTGGCCAACAGTCTACTTCTTTCAGTGAATACTTGTTTTCAAATACTGACGAAAGAAACCCCAAATCAGAAATTCCTGTGGAAATAGCTAGAAAAGCGAAGCAGAAGAGATTGACTTCAAAGAAATACAGTGCTGGAGAACGTCTTGTGACTAAGGCTGGAAAATCCAAGTTAAGTAAAGCAAAGCAGAGTTGCCCAGGTGGAAAGTATAATAAGATGAGTGAATTAGTAAAAAAGGTAAGTGATTCTGCATCACCTACTAAAAGTCATGCAAGTCTAGACTTGTTTTGTCACCTAATCAAGCACTGCTGAGCACTTTGTGCAGACCCTGATTCTTATGCAAAAATGGTATAGAATTTTACTATTAGGCAGTGGTTAGCATATGCTCTGCACAGGTATTAATAACCACACAGGGTGCAAGGAAATAGAGAATCAGGCCCTCAATCTTTTTTGGAAGACTGTATGAATCAGAGCTTTGATTCTGAAGCAGACATATGTAACAAGTGGGTGTCCCAGGGCCGGTCAGATCATTGCCCGCCCACTTGTCTCTGGGAAAGCCACCCACCTACCTCTCCTGCCACACCTTAATGACAGTGATTGAAAGATGTCAATTAGGCAGGAGGCTGCCCATTTACCTGCCCTGATGCCAAAGGCCCATATACATGGCTCCAGATTCCCTTATACCATGTCCCATGCCTTGCAGATGACATCCATATTCCTCTAGTGCCTCACACTGTGGCCCGAGCTCCAGAACCTCACATGGGATTCTCACTCCCCTCTGGAGCTTGCAGTCACTGTGCCCTAACACTGGACTCTCCCTCAGTCCATTACTCAGGGCTCCCAGCCCCTACCCATTCAGGGCTGTAAGTCTCCTCTCAGTTCAGGGCTCCAAGCCCCATCCCCTGCCCTACATTGGGCTACAGTCCCCTTATCCCTTCACCCCCCAAGAGCTTCACGTATAGCTCCCCACAGGCTCAGGGCCCCACCCCCCTGGAGCCACATACTTGGCTCCTTAATGCAGCCTCAGATCTTGCAGTGAGTCTGGGTGCTGTCTTTGGCCCCTTTACCTGGCCAGGACCCTGCCTCAGAGCTTACAGTGAGTCTGGGCCCTTGCTTTGTTCTTCAGGGTGTGCTCCCCTAACCTTTCCCTTCCACAGGGTCACCTTCAAGGCAGCAGGGGCTGAGGCTTTCTGGCTCCCCATACTCATCCTTCACTGGGGAGCCCCCAGGTGTGGCATTTTCTGGAGGCTGCCCTGCCACTGGCAGTCCGACCACACCTCATCCTCCCCAGCAAAGTGTAGTTTTAGGTCATACCCCAGGACCAAGAGCCTCCAGCCATCCCTATAGCTCCTGCCCTTACCTCCAAGATGTCATGAGCAGCAGCTTCAGCTAGGCAGTGTTCTCTTAGTAGCTAGCAGCAGACTGCTGGCTTTGCTGCTCAGGGTCCTGCTCTTATAGTGAACAGCTGGGCCCTGTTCCTAACCAGGTAATTAGGTCTGTTTGAGAGAATAGCCAGCTGCAGGCTGCTTTGCTGCTGCCCACACCCCTAGAAGTAGCAGAGCACACCCTGTGCTCTGTTACATTATACATAACAGCAATAGCAGAAGTGCTTATGTTGTGGTCCTGTCAGATTCTAACAAATCTGCAGATTCTGCTAAATACTTGTCATTAACAATCTCAGACAAGACACAAGGAGAAGATGATGAAAAAGAATACAAGCTGTCTGTACTCTGGGCTTCCCTCCATGATATGAGTCATGATTTTGTTCTTATTGATTTCTTTGGGTGCCTATACATATGCATAGAGGCTGCTCAGATGCACTGTAATTACAGCGTGTTGGAGGAGACTCGATTAATCGAGTCTGCTGAAGCATGGTAATTACTGCACTCCAGCTGACTCCAGTGTCACATGCATCAGCATCCCCGCGCTGAAAAATGGTGGCAGGGGTGCTTTAACTGAAGCTCTTTCAGGGAGCTTTAAAGTGCCCCATCACCATTTTTCAGTGCAGGGGCACTGATACATGTGACGCTCCAGGCACTTTCTCGGAGCCACTCTAATTAAAAGCACACCCCTGCCCCTCCTGGAGCACATGTATAAATGCCTTATTTGTCCACTGACTTCAGTTAGGACATGAGCAGGCCCTTAATATTGAGTTTATGAGACGTGCCCTGGTGCTTTTCATTATGCCTGTGGTTGTGTGCGCTCTCTGAGCTGCAGTGGCATCTCTTTTCTTCACTGACCAATGAACTGAAGACATTTGCAGCAAGTTGTCTTCCAGGCAAAATTGGCCAGTAGGTTGGAAGACTGGCTGAAAGCACTGATGTACAGTTTTATTTCAAGTTCCCCTTTCCAAGGGGAAGTGACTTAGAATGAGTTCGTAAAACAGGTGTGGTATAACACCTTGATAGACAGCACAGAATATGGTTATATGTTAATCTGCATCATAGTCTATAGCAGGCAGTGTTCATTAAGAAACTTAACACCTATTGGAAGGCTTGGTGTGGATATAGTGGTAAAGTCATTGTTTTTTATTAACATATTGACTGTGTTTTATTTAATACAGACTTAGGTCAAACATTCATTTATTCAAGTACTTAATTTTCAGTATGAACCAGTGCTACTAAAATTGATGGTGACTGCCACATGTTTAAGATTTAGTGTGCATGTGAATGTTTGCATGACAGAGGCCTTTCTTTCCACTGCCAAGGATTACAAATTGAAATCTGTAAGAACCTGCAGCAACCACAAGGTAAAGGAAGCAAAAGGCTAAAAGAAATTTTAAAACAAAGCAATAAACAACCTCCCATTCCCAAAAACATAATTCACAAAAATTTCAGGACATTGAACAGTTGTTGAAAAATTTCAAATTTTGACAAAACACAGGAGAAACAATGTTAAACAAATCAGTTTAATCAGTTCTATTAGAAATACTGTACTATACATGAACATCTTCAGAGTGTTGAGGAGAAACATCAAACAGATTTTTATAGCAGTAAGGAACCATATTCCCCAAGTAGATTGACACTGAGCATTTTCTTAGTACGTTTATCTGGGGGAAATGGCTATGTTTTGGGGACAGGAGTATGCTGAAATTGATATGGTAATAAGCAAAGACTAGCAAGTTGGAGTGGCAAATAGTGCTACCATGGAACGTGAGCTTTATTCACAGTGGAAATAATAATAAAAAAAAAAAATATTCCAGCAGGGCTTGGGGTCTGTGTTGTCCCAAATTTTCCAGCTCCCCATGGCATTGTTTGTAGCTGATTCAGTGAGCCTCAGTGTTTTAGGAGAGGAGTCCCGTTCCTCCATTATTTTAGTCATTTTCAGTTGGAAACGAATGAAACTTGCTCCTGGCTGGAAGCAGATGGTCAGTATGTGAGTTGGAGCCAATGTGATGCCATACAGGATGCTGCATGCCTGCTAACCAGGGTGTGATGGAGGCTTAGAACCTTTATGGAGGGATAAGATGCAATCTTCCTACCTCCATATGCCTCTGATTAATAATATGAACTGTACTGCAAATGTGTTCGATGTGGGTTTAAAAGGTGTTTGGTATAAATATCTCCTCCTTCTAAGCATCTTTGTACCACTCCATGTCAGTTCACTGATAGGCTGGGACGAAAGAAGGAGTTGAAATGTGAACTGAGCATAAAGATCTTTGGAAATGAACTCAGCTTTTTGGACTGTGAAGATATAAGAAAGAAAGTGAAGCATTATTCCCTGAACCTGGCGGAACTAGCTGTCAAGCTTCTAAAGGTAAAAGGGACTATTTTACCATTTGAAAGTGGGTGCTTTGAGCTGTGAGGATCACAGCCTATTATTCTTTTATATCAAACCAACAGAGCATTTTTCAGAAACCCTAGGACTTAGGAAATATATATGATTTAAACTAGGTAGGACACATTATGCTTTGAATAGCAGCAAACAGGACTACGTCAGGGCTCCCATGAACAGAATTTGTCCTAGTCTTAATTATTCTTATCTTGGTCTCCTGGTATGAAATAGTTCATTTTCAGAGCAAAATAACACATAGTTTTTAAACTGGCACAGGATGTGGTCTAGCTGTATTGGTGCCTTTTCTAGAGATGGGCTTGCTTCTCCACTTCCAAATTCAGCTCGGTGAAAAAGCCCTGTCAAGGAAAGGGAATGCTCTGGAAAATCTACACTGAATGGTTTGATCCCAAGCCTAAGTCTGGAAAAATTCTTGTAGGCTGACTTCCTGGTAGCAATTCTATGTTGTTTTATTTACCATAGGGTCAAGAGATCCAGTTTAATAAAAGACTGAGTTTGGCCACTGAAGAACTGCTCTTCCCAGCAATTTCAGGTTTTCCAGTTCAGTTGGTTTTAAATGCCTCTGCAGCAATCAATGTAAAAATCAAAGGGGATGTGGATTTCAAGCACCGATCAAATTTTTTCATTAATGGATATATCAAGCCAAGGTATACTTTGGTTAATAGAGACCAGATCTGTTTAATTCAGGTACATTGTTACATATGTTTCTTACTTCCACACATTTCTGACAGCAAGGAGATATGGGGATGTTTTAGGTACAAATTCCATATGGAGCAGCAGAGTTGATCACTTAGGAAATCCTTGGGGATTTCCTTCCATGATCACTGTTGTGCTATATGTTGCTATAGTCTCTTTCCTGACTGTTTGATTTTAAAACCTCTCTTGCTGCCTCTTTGTCAACCATGTTCTTTAGTCATCCTAGCTAGAATATTTGTAAGGCACTTCCTACAGGCTTGCAGGTGAGTGATCTCATGAGTTGTTTTTTCTGTTGTAGATAACTTTCCTTTGGATTTTATAAGGCTGTTCATTCTCTGTGGAGTGGAGCCACAGGGCAGCCCTGGCATTGGCTCCGGGTAGCCGCAGTGAGAAGGGCCTGGCATCAGTGAGGGAAAGTGGCCAGGTCCTGCTTTTTCCCTGGCCCCAGCAGCAGCTTCTGCTCAGCTATCACCACCACTGCTCATCATGGCTGGGTGGGTATGGAGTGGCACTGCAGGGACCCTGACGCCCTGTGTGGGGTGGGCCAGGGCTGTGTGTTCAGCCTGGGGCACAGACCTTGCAGGCACAGGTCCCAGCTGGGCTCTATGGGGCCAGGGCTGGTAGTGGTGGCAACAGCTGGAAGGAGCTGCCACCACCATGGCTGCCAGAAAATGGAGTTCAGCCGCAGAAGTGTCCCAGCTCTTCTGTGCACCTGGGGGCAGCGGGACACGCCACAGGCCATATGGTGCCTGGGCCAGACGGGACCAAGGGACCTATTTGTGGGCTGGACAGAGTTCTTCTGTAGGCTGCATCTGGCCCACGGGTCTTATTTTGTCCACCCCTGCTCTAAATGGTGTTGGAGAATGGGGTCTCCAGTCTCAAGGGCTAAGGATGGAAATTCAAAAAGACTGAGCCTGAATTGATTCAATCGTTGCAGGTTAGTCTAACCTGCCTAGATTGAATCAGTTTGCCAACTGCACAGACATTCTGTCAGGACTGAGGAAATGCTGGCACATGGCTGCAATGGCTCAGGCCAGGAGCCGGGGGGGCACTAGAGCATCCCACGGCTGCATGGAAGCTGTGCTGGGAGGCATGGCCAGTCCCAGCAGTAGCTCCAAATGAGCTGTCCAGAGAGGGCTTTAATTCCCCCCTTCCTGTTCCACTGGCCAGGGTCTGCTTGGTGCTTCCCCCTCATAGCTGCAGTGGCAGGGCAGGGGACATAGCAAAATGCTGGCTGGCATGGCTCCTGAGGTGGGGGGGGCAGGAAGGGGGGTTATTCCTCCTTCCACCCCCTCTGACCCTGGGAGACTGCAGCACAGTCTGCTTGCCCTGACTGCCACTGCCACCACTTATTCCACTCTGCCAGATGCCAAAGGGAGGGGGGAATTATTGCCCTGCCCCTGGAGCAGCAGTGTGAGCCTCTTTCTGGTCAGAGGGCGCAAGTGGGGGTCAGAGCTGTCACAGACTGCATGGGGTAGGTGGTGGTACTGGAGTTCAGAGGGAGCTATCACCCCCCACCCCCAGCACTACCGCTACTGTTTGTCACCGCCCCCCCCGCCCCAGCACAGCACCACCGCTTGTCTGTGGCAGCTTTCCCTGTGGCCACTTTCCCTGCCCTGCCCTCCAGGAGCGGGGATGTGGACAGAGCCCAGCCAGGAGGGCCCCTTGGGGGGGGGCAAGAAGGGGGGTTATTTTGCTGTTCCTCCAGCATCCAAGGCTTATCTTCCTGCTTGCTCCCTGTGAGCAGCAGCAGTCAGGGCTGACAGACCCCACTGCAGTCCCCTGGGGGCAGAGAGGGGAATAACCCCACACCTGGCCTCCTGCCTAAGGGGGCCCTGCTGGCCAGGCTCTGGCTGTGCCCCTGCCCCTGGAGCAGTAAAGGGGGAGCAACCATGATGGGGGCAAGAGCCCCTGTTACAGTGTCCTGGAGCATGGGCCTGTTCCCAGTGAGGGAGGCATGCTGTAGGTGGGGGTGGGGAAGGGAAAGCCGCTGGAGACAAGCGGTGGCAGTGCTAGGGAAGTTTGGGTGGTGATGACCCCCTCCAAACCCTGGCACCACCACTTACCCCGTGCTGTCCGTGGCAGTGTTTGACCCACTGGGGTTGAGGGGAGGGGCCAGCTCTGCGGGACTGGAGTAGAGAGCCCAGCCCAGCGAGCATGCTGGGATGCTGGGGGACTCTGGTTTAAGTTAAACTTGGAAGGAGTCTGGGACAGACATAGCATAAACCGGTTTGAGCTCAATCAGTTAAGTCTGATACTACATTCAGCCAGGTTCATCTCAAAGTGGTTTTGGCCAGTTTGAAACTGCTTGTTATGCACTGAACTTCTGTTCTGTTACAGGTTGAAACTGGTTTCTGATCACTTAAACTGGTTTACGTGTAATGTCTGTCCCTAGCCAAGGGGACTGTAGTATAGGGCATAGTTTATGTATTTTTTAATTGTATGAGACTTTTCCATTAGAATAATTAAACCAAAAATATTCCTTCTCTCTGTTTTTCCTGCCACCCTATTAACTGAGGAGAGAAGGTCTAATTTGAATCCAAGTTGTACACCTCTGGTATTTGTCTTGCATTTTCACATAATCCATCCATTATTCAACAGTTCTTCCAAAGCAGCTGCCTGAAAACAGATGTTGGTACAAATATTTTTTCTTTGCACTGTTTTTTGTTTGTTTGTTTGTTTGTTTTGTTTTTTGTCTTGGATTTTTTGTGCGTGCTGGATGTAGATCTCTAGCAAGTCTACAAAATCCTTCCGCTAGAAATAAAATGTGGTAAACGCAAGTATTTCATCCTTCTTCTGAAACTATTCAGTAAAACTGCATGCTGACTTATTCCTGAATGTTGGTACATATCACATTATGTTTTGCAAAATTTTAAAGATATTTTGCAAACATTTGAAAACAGAACTATTAGTTTGATGTTTAACTGGTGTTAGTGGAAATACATGCTGCCCTGTATATTCTTACCTGACTCCGTCCTAGACATAGAAAGTTGTTTTTGACTTGTTTCCTTTACCTTTGCTATATTGTATACAGAGAACTTTTTACCCTAGATAACTGAGTCCAGTCATTTTGCTTTCTCTCAAGACCTGCTAGTGAAGTGCAGATTTGTGTCCAGCTACTATTTCAGCTTGTACAGATAGCTGTGCCTCATACTAAAACTGTATGTTCATATGTTTGGAATATTTTCAGTTGCTTAATAGGACAGAACATCCACTCTGATTTTAAAGTTAGCAGTAAAAAGCATGTGGCATCGAAAAGGATATATTTGTTACAGGGAAGAAGAAGCCTGTCCTTTTAGATAATGATCTTGGCAACAAAAACGGTATTTTTCAAAGGAAACTGTGGTTTGTTGTTTGTTTGTTCTTTTTTGGCATCCTTCGGCAGTGCATTTATCCAGATTTCTACCCAAATGGGAACTGTGGGGATTCTGGGAAAAACTGGCTTGGCCTGGGTAACTGGCATTAAGACATCAACAAGCCTGGATGGAGGAATCCAGGTAAAAAAAGGACAAGAACTTAAAGCATTTTTGAATACCCCTGAAGAATCCATGGAAATAATTGATTTCAGGTAAGACCAAATGAGTACATCTTCCAGAAAACACTAACAGTGATCCCATTGCAGAATCAGAATTTAGCTAGAAGGGTTGTAAGCAGTGCAATAGCTTACATTTGAATTCAGTTTTCTCTTATAGATACTATGAATATACTTTAGCAGTAAGCAGACAGTTGCAGTCTAACTTAGATGGCAGTAGAAAGCTGCCAGCCAAAAATAAAAGCAGCTGGAATTACACAGGTATGATTATATTGCTTCACTAGAAATTTGTCCATGTTACTATCAGAATGTAATACTAGCTTGATGACTTTCCTGTACAGGATTTTTTAGAGTTATGACAGTAATGAACTGCTGCTATCCCCCAAAATATTTTTCCTCTTTCTTTCTTATTATTTTCCCTGACAACAATGCTCTGTTTTCTCTGAAGCTTTAACATTCAAGGAGTCTGTGCATCAGGGAATTATGCCAGTGCAGCAAAAACAGATTTATTCCTGCAGATTTAAAAAAACTTTAAGTATCAAAATAAGTAGCATCATTTGATAGACCATAATTATCTGAGTTGTGCCTGTACTATTCTAGTAAGTGTCTGCTTATATTCCTGAATATATTGGGTAAAGGATGCTTCATGAAATGCTGCCTCAACAAATTCCAGATGTTAAACAGATAAAGTGTTTGTGCTAATGAAAGCTGGGCTATTTAGTTTGTATATCCGGCCTTTTTTTGTTTTCTTCCAACCTTCAGATTTGATAGTCCAGTGGAAAATTCTTTGATCAGAAACATATCTGGATGTGATGTCATATTATAAGCCACATGCTCTGGCCACTTGGAAGTTATGGCAGATTTATGAAAGGTTTACAGCATACGGATTGTTGCTTTTGTATCTGTGTCTTGCTTTTGTACCCTTTGCTATACTCTATGACATGCAGGCAGACCAGTTGTGAGCTACAAGGTGGTAGAATTAGCATTTAAAATACTCTCTCCTTTTAAGACCATGAGCAGGTTACTGGTTTAATTTTGTTTCTGAAAGCTAAGATGGATGACATTTCATTGATCTTTGAAAGATTGAGGGCCAAAATCAAGCAATTTTCTCTCTTTATTCTACCAATTAAATAAGTTAGAGGCTGTGTTGTGTTATATACTTCAAGTTTATTGGCCTGTATTTTGCACCCAATGCATTTTCTGCATTTATTAAGTCTTGTTTGCCACTCTTGTTATGACTTATAGCTTTGGATTTAACTGTGGTTGGGATTTAGATATTTTTTTGATAATAGCTTGGAAGTAATTTTTCTTCCTATAGGTGCATAGGTCCACATCATGGACCTAGCACTGCACGTTAAGTAAACTGGCTGCATTGTCTGGAGGTCTGTAGAGAATAGTAAGGTTTATTGGAAGATTGCATGGTCTTTTGTGGGGGAGGCCAGTTCCTGAACACCTGCCTAGGCCAAATTTGATATCCCCTGTCTCGTTTCACTCATCCTTTCCTATCCTGTGTGGGGAAGCTACATCAGTTCTATTTTCACCCTCATGAGAGCAATAAGGAAAGGAAAAAGGAAGGTTCTGGTGCTTTTTCTGCTAAAGAAGAAAAATTAGGAAGCTCTAGTTCAGATCCTATGGTTTAGAGGCCAATCTGTAGCTTGTCTGCAAGCTAATTTTCAGTGTAGTGCAAAAATAATGAACATTAAAGGAGGACAGCTAGTGCCAAATACACATAACCTTTCCTTCCCTCAGCACCTAGTATTTACATCTTGGAATAAACTTCAGCAATCTTACTTAAATAAGATCTTAAATAATTACTGTACAATAGAATTCAATTGATGTCATGTGCAGGGATCCAGGTTTTTCATTCACCATGGAAAAATGCGGTAAAACCCAGATTTTCTCCTTTTAAGGAGAAAAACATGGGAAATGATGGGTTTCTCCTTGGAGGTTGGCAGAGTCCCAGCCTGCAAGGGGCTGATGGGAGCAGGAGTAGGGCGTTCAGACAGGGGGTGCCGTCAGCACATACACATGCACATAGCAGCCAGGCAGCCTGGAGAGCAGCTCCCACAGGTAAGTTGTGGGGAGGCCCCCATAGTGAGGGAGGGAGGGAGTTGGGCAGGGGTGGGGCTACCGCCCAGCTTGGGCAATGCCTGGGGCCAGAACACGTGGCTGCAGGGCCCAGACAGGGAGTGGGACAGGGCTGTGAGTGGCTCATGGGCGGGGGAAGGGGGAGACCTGGCTCCTCGCTGCTGCATGCACTCTGGGGGGGGGCGTGCGAGGCATGTACCCCCCCAAATCTGTGCATAGAGCAGGTATGGGCTGCCCACTGCAGGTTTGGGGTTCCCCACCTTGCTGCCCTCCTGCCAGGGCCTCTGCAACCCCTGGGTCAATTCCCAAGCCCCTGGGGTGATTCCCCAGCTGTCTGATCATTCCCCCAGCTCTTCCCAGGGGGCACGGGCCCCTGGATCTCTGTGCTGGGTTTCAGCAACCTGCACCAGCAGCCTGCTGAAACCCCACAAGCAGATCAGGGGCCTGTGCCGCCCAGGAAGAGCTGGGGGAAGCAATCAGAGAGCTGGGGAATTGAACCAGTAGCTAGATGTCAATACCAGAGCAGTCCCCGTCCCCTCCGTTGTCCCTCCCTCTCCTGAGTTTATGTTTAGCTGCAAGCCAACCTGCTTTGAAACTCCAAAAATTTCGAAAGTTTCAAATGTTTCAAATGCCCTCATTTTGTTTCGAAGCTATTTCGAAGCCTTTTGTTTCATTTCGATTTCACTGTTTTGAGCTCAGAACGAGTCAAAATAGCTTTGAAATGAAACACCTGTCGAAATTTCACACAGCCCTTCTGGCAGGGCAAGGAAGCTGCAGGTGCAGAGTGAGGGGCATCAATGGGGTGAGGGGGGCTGTGGGTGGGGAGTGATGGATTTCGGGGGTTTTAATCAGAGAATCCACAAATTTGTTTTTATCAGAGAATTTTTTATTTTTAAACAGAGAATATCAGGATCCCTGGTCATGCATCATGATGGTTTCAACTTTATAAACCCTTTCATCCAAACCAGAGCCTGTATTCCCTGTCATGTTACAAAAAATCATTCTGGTCTCATGGCAAGAACCAAAATTACATTTAAAAAAAAGCATGGAGGTTCAGAAATGAATGGAGTTACTTTGAATTAGGGTGAACTAGTTGCAGTTTTATCTAGTTCTCAGCATTGTCCCCTCTACTTTTCCCCATGCATAGAATTCTCCTTTGTGGATTTGCATTCTCCCTGGTTTTGAATGGGAAACTTGCTGTGCGGATTGAGAGTAAGACCAAGTGGATGGAAACTCTACATAGCACCACTTGTCTTCAAGTCAGTCAGCAAATAGAAGCAAGAAACCCTGCTCTTCTTGTCAGTGCATGGTTTAGGCCAGAATTATTGTTGTCAGTTGTGAATTTACTGCTTTTAAATTCCCCAGTTCAGTTTACATTTTTTTCTTTATTATTATATATTTCTCTCCTTTTTGCTTGTGACAGCAGCCGCCTTCTCTACAGGTAATGCACTTTCTCTCCTCTCCTGAAGTCAGTAGTGTTGCACAGAGGTGTAGCGGGGCAACTCTGTGCCTGAGGCAGGCACAAACGCTCGGGGCAGCACAGGCTGCACCCCTGCTGATTGCATTGGGACAATGAATTGTTGTTGCAGTGGTGGCTATTTTTGCACACTCCTACAAAGGCAGTGACCGGGATGCTGTCCTGGTCACCCCCTCTTCAGTTACACTACTAGAGTTGCACTGAAATGAGTCCTGAGAGCACTGGGCCCTCTGTGTGGGGTCTACATCTAAATTAGAGTAAGGATTGTTCTGCATCTCTTACAGGCAAATTTAGACTGCTAATACACAGCTTATGCACCAGTTAAGTCCCTTTCAAGACTTATTTTGACTGCGTAAGCAACATAAAGCTTTTGTGTTGGTCTTCTGCAAAATAACTTGCTGCTTTTCTGAATACAAATACCTTTTTGATCCCAGAAGAACTTGAGCTTTTTTATATTTTACACCTAGGAGAAAATTACACTGAATTAAAGACAAGCCAATACTTCTTTGTGTAAAATTTACAGCTGTGATAAGATAAAGGTCTATATGCATTTCTTTATTATAGCTCTAAAATTTACCTCACAACAGCTGATGGAATGGAAAATATTGATGGTTTCCAAGACCGTGTAGAAAGCAAATCCTGCACTAGTGAGGAAGGTAGGTCTGTTTGTATAGCATTTGTCATTTTTTCATTAAATTAACGTGTAGGGAAATCTGCACCAGAGCCTACAGCAAAAGTTTTATGCAACAGAGAATTCCTTTCTCATCACATTACTTCAAAATAGGCTACCGGCTTGCAATGTTTATCTGATAGCTGGTATGTTTTCTTTGTTCGTTCTCTTCTAACTGAATGCAATGCTGTTGTGTTCCTCCAGTATCCAAGATTATTGGCTGGCAATTGTGTTCTGAAATGTTTTACCCTGACTCAACCAGTAGTTTGCCTTTCCCACTTTCTGGGCCCATGAAAGCATCTGTAACATTAACAAAGCAAGATAGAGGTCTCCAGCAGTACCTGATGGAAGCAGCTTATAATTATGTTTCTCAGGTACAGTTACACCATCATTTATGCTGTATATGGTAAATGAGTTAATTTCCTTAGACCAGTGATTCTCAACCAGGGTGCCTCAACCCTGGGGTGCCTTGATCCTTACTGGGATGCCATGGGGTATTGCATAATGTTAGAACTGTAAGGTATGCAAACAAAGTAATCCCAGAGATTTTCAAATAGCAGTCCATAGTGTTAAAAATTTCTGACCTGTTGTAGTCTTTCTAAGCACTTTGCAGCATAAGAATTGCTCTATTATTTTTCTGTAGTAAAAAATGCAGTGAAAATGAAGAGCTGACATTTTCTGAGGGACGTCTTGGGCACTTTTACATGTGCTTCAGGGGTGGTGGGTGGGGGGGGGAATGGCGGCGCTTTAGTTAGAGTGACTCTGAGAGCTGCTCTAATTAAAGTGCTGCAACATCTCGTGTATCAGCATCCCTACATTTCAAAATGGCAGCAAGGGCGCTTGAACTAAGGCTCATTCAACAACCTTTAGTTCGAGCACCCCTGCCACCATTTTGAAGCATGGGGGAACTGATACATGAGATGCAGAGCCTGGCTGAAGCACAGTAATGACCATGTTCCAGCAGACTCAATTAATTGAGTCTGCTCCAATGCACTGTAATTACAGTGCATCAGAGCAGCCTCCGCACTCATGTATAGGCATCCCTTGAGTCTCAAAAGGTTGAGAATCATTGCTTTACTTTGTAGTATATAACAGTGTTAAAGTATGTTGTATGTCCAGTTTGTTATCAGCCTTGAGCAGTAGTTCTCAATCGTAAGCTATTTCATCGCTGAAGTTTGTGACCCAAACTCTGGTCAACCCTACTTCTGGACCAAGCCCATCCAGAACAATTGAATATATGCAGGTCTCATGTTCCCCAGAAAGGTCACAAACTCCAATTTGGGGACCACTGATCTAGGAATTCAGGCCTCTTTAGAAAAGAAAAAGTGGTGTGGAAAACTATTTGTGGTGGCTAAATATTAGTATACTTATTTAAAAGGCAGGGCACAGAAAGGTTAAGTAGTAGTCACAGTCTCCTTGTGTGGCCTGGGCAAGAGCTTGGAGTAGAACCCAGAATGGCTGAACTGGTGCCTTGACTGGGCATGGTGCCTCTCACTGATACCTGATCTATACTTTCACAGTGTAAAACAGATTTATAACTAAATCTCATTAAATTAGTAGTAACCCTTAACTTTTACCAGATTGATACTTGCTAAAGAAAGCCAACCAAAGCTAAATTCATTTTAAGTAGGAGTTAACTAGACTCAAATGAATATACCTTAGGGGTATGCACCCGCTGAGCTAAATTATTTTTAACTTGATTTAGCCTTTTTGCATGTACAAGGCCTAAAATGAAGGTTTATTGCCCTGTGGGAGAGATGACAAAGATTTCTCTTTTTTCCAAGGACAGTTTTTTAGCTCCTATTTTGAAATGCAAGGTTATCAACAGGGATCTTGGTTTTCTCTGTTTAAAAATCCTAAATTCTCTGAGTAAAACCCCCCAAATCCATGTTTTCTGTGATTAAAATCAAACACCACTATATATGTAGGTATCAGTTGAACACAATGTTTTATTGATATATTTACAATTTTAAAGCAATTTGGAAGCCTAGCAGTGACTCAATCATTATAATAAAATGAATTCTAAATACCTATATGTTTTGGTGTTTGATTTTGTTTTTTCAATCATGAAAAATCAGAGCTCCCCCTTTCCCCTTCACTCAACAACATTGAGAGGGTCCAGAGGAGGGCCACCCGCATGATCCAGGGACAACAGGGCAGACCCTATAGTGAGAGACTGCGGGACCTGAACCTGTTCAGCCTTCACAAGAGAAGGCTGAGGGGGGACTTGGTGACCATCTATAAACTCACTAGGGGGGACCAGAAGGGTTTGGGGGAGACCTTGTTTCCCCTAGTGCCCCCTGGCATAACAAGGAATAATGGCCACAAGTTGTTGGAGAGTAGGTTTAGATTAGACTGTAAGAACTACCTCACTGTTAGGGCGGCTAGGAGCTGGAACCAACTTCCAAGGGAAGTGGTGCTGGCTCCTACCCTGGGGGTCTTTAAGAGGAGGCTTGATGCCTACCTGGCTGGAATCATTTGAGCCCAGTTTTTTCTCCTGCCCAGGCGGGGAGTCAGACTTGAAGATCTACAAGGTCCCTTCCGACCTTACTTTTATGATTCTATGATGCTATGACCAAGACATGTGGCTGTGGCTCCTACTGCTTTGTGGCACTGATATGCCAGTACCCTGCCCCTGCCCCTTCCCATGGCATTGCCTCTCACTCCCAACTCACAGCCTTCCCAGCCTTGCCAATGTCCCTCACTCCTAATCCGCAACCTCCTGGCCCTGCCAGTGGCCTTCACTCCTGACCCACTATCCCTTTCCCTCCCCATCCCAGTG